ACCACCAAGGACACCAAACCTTTTTCTGCTGGCAGACAGCTTAACTGGAGCTTCATCCAGGAACCTATATTTGGATTTGATTATGAATTGAGGAGTTTGGAATGAGCACACTGTGGAAATCATAAGTCAACGCTTCTTCTTTGTTTTTGATGTAGGATTTACAATATGTCTACCTGACCGTACTCTGTGCTGCTGTGGAGTGAGGACAAAACATGGTTTAAGCTAATGATTATTCCTTTATCAAAAATAACCTGAGTACCTCAACAGTACTTTAGAATGCTGCTACCTTCATTGTATGAGCTGTGTCCTAGCTCTAAAAGAGGTTGACCAATGAAGCCATGGGACTCAGCCAGAGCTTTACAAGTATGTGGTGAAAGCTGTGATACATTTATTTTGGGGGAACTGAATATTTTTGTGTTGCACCCTGATGGAGTAATTTCTGAAGTTAGAAACATTGATGGGGATAATTTTAGCCCAGTAAATAATGTTTGATGTATGAAAATGTCTGATTTAGTGGTAAATAATTTCCATTTTTCTAGTCCCTAGATCTAGTCTCTTGACCTGTAGTGTTCAGTAGTGTTATGTTTTTGGACTAGCTAGGCACTTGTTTTTACACTCACTCATCTAACTAAAGGAATGTTTAGTGAACTGTACTTGTTGGGAGATGCTGTAGTGGCTCAGTCCAACATAACTAACTATACCAAGCTTCAGATGGGTGTCCTTCCCTGCACTACCTCCACCTTCGCCTGACACTTCCAGTCAGACACACTAACACCAGTGGGTGTATATTAGCCTAGTCAGTCCCCTGCAGGGCTTGAGCTGGGCCTGCAGCACTTCCTACCCTCCTCCTGTATTTGAGTTAGCCGGGCCCCCGCCTGTACTGTGGGAGCCCCTCATCCTCAGCCTGGACCCTGTCTCCCCCTCACCCTGCCTGGTGCTGCTGCACTCGGCTCTGCTTCTGCTGGCCGAGGATGATGTGGCAATGCCATGTGTCGTCCTCTGAGTGCCGCTGCTACCGGCTGAACGGCTTCTCACTGCTGAAGCGCTTCCCTCTCTCGGCAGATGGGGCCTGTGGTAAAGCCCTGGACCAGCCGGTGGGAGAGTGGCTGGGGGCCGGACGAGAGCAAGTTCCTGCTCAATGGCTTTGATGACCTACGATTCATGGTGAGTCACCTGCACCACGTCATCTCGGGTCGTTTCACTTTACATCACTCTGTCTCTCCCTCTGTCAGCCTAGCTGCATTAGTCTTTTTGTGTCAGCACTCTGCTCTGTTTAGCTCTCTGTTGGTCTATGCTTCTCTCTCAGTAGCTCCCCTTCTCATCTTCTCCCACTCACCATGCACCTTTTCTCTTTCTTCTCCTCCCCTTCATAACTCCTTTTCACCTCTGTGTGATGCATGATCCTGCTAAGATTTATGGCCCCTTGCTTACCAGCCTGTCACCAATGGCAAGAGAAATGACAA